CCACACTCTGTATGCCACTACGTTTCTTAAATCTCTCAAACCGACCTTTGCTGGCCTTAAATTCAATAACATCACTAGTTGCAGGCATTTTTTTAGTTAAATCGTCATGCAACTGCCTTGCCTTTTCACATAATGTTGATTGAGAAATACCATCTCCTGATATTTGTTTTTCATTTATCCACACCAACAACAGTCTCTCAACATCTTCGAGAACAGTGGACCCCCGGTTCGCGATATTAATCTGTTCCTGAGAGCTCATCGTAAACCAAAATTATCGGAAAGCGAATCAATTTTCCCCATAAGAAATAATGATAATCAAATTAATCCGTGCAAGACACCCAAAAGTATGAAAAAAAACTTTTACCACATGAAATATTAAGTTTAATGCAATAGAATAATTACAATAACAACAATAACAATAGAATAATAACAATAGAATAATTGACACTTACCTTTAATGAAGATCTGGTGATGATTGATGGGATGGGAGGAGGGGAGAGTGTCGAAGTTGTTACTGTTTAGAAGGGGAATCCCCTTCCATTAGGACTTGAGGTAGCAAGTCCTTTTCCGGGGTTACTTCCCTTCTTCTTTTAATGCCACTAGGACCAGCTTGAGAGTCACTGGGCCTCTGTCGCCATTCCTTTAAGATTTGTCTAAAATGGGCCATAACATTGTCATTGTAATAGTCACCAGTACGGCTTGCAATGGCTGTGTTAGGGCGATTTTTCATCCATAAAGGTTTGCAGTTCAACCCACTTTGCACACATTTCCTTAATTTTTGAAGTAGGCACAATGGAGTCCACAACTGGCATAGGCTTCTCAGGGTTAGCCCCAAACCCTTCAAAATCTTTCTTAATTTCCATACTAATTCTCACCCTTTTTACCACAGGGTTGGAACTAGAAGCTTTCTTGGGGCCCATGGTGACTTATTTTGCAGAAACAAGCACCAAAAACAGTGATAATATGGATAATATGGAATGTACCGAATGTATCCTAAGATGCGCGCACACTGGCTGCCTTGTAAACACTGACACACACAGGGCAGTTCAGGCCACACGTGGATATGCCTTGTATGAATCGCATCGCATACCAGGTTTTGTAACGGGAACTGAGGCAAATTTTTAGCGATATAATGCATCGGCTACCGGATTTATCGGATACCGATAGCATCGTGAACCGGGGATCCACTGTATTTGCGATCTCTGTTTCGAAAACATATTTGCACCTTTCACAACAACAGCTTCCTTGATTACCTTTCTGTTGACCAAGATAGTAGCGATGGTTGATTGGGGTTTGTTATACAACCTGGGCAGCTTGGAGGCATGCACTCCACTTTCATGGTAATTCTCACCCTTTTTACCACAGGATTGGCATTAGAAGCTTTCTTTGGGCCCATGATAGCTTATTTAGCAGTTACAGGCACTAAAAACACAAAATGTATTGAATGTATGCATGGAACTGACTGTCCTGGCTAGTAAACAATGGCACACTAACTGAAGGCAGGGCAGAGCAGCTGAGGCGCGCTTAGGCCAGACGGACGTGTGGACGCGTTCGGGACGAATATTGTTAGTCGAGTTTTTCATCGTTGGTCAGGCCAAAATTTTTACGCTGAAACGCATTGTTAGGCAACTTTATCATTAGACGATGCCAACGTTGGTCGAGGGTCCATTGTGCAAGTGCCAGTCAGATGAATGCAAACAATGAAAAATAATAGGTAGCACAGGGTGGACACATAATGCTAGGACACAAACAGTGAGTCATATATATATATCAGAATCAAAATTGATAATGAACATCCTTCAACATTATGGCAACCATCAATACTGAACAACAAGAGCCTCATACACCCAAGTACAGTGGACCCCCGGTTTACGATATTATTTCATTCCAGAAGTATGTTCAGGTGCCAGTACTGACCGAATTTGTTCCCATAAGGAATACTGTGAATTAGGTAAGTCCATTTCAGACCCCCAAACATACACATACAAACGCACTTACATAAATACACATACATAATTGGTCGCATTGGGAGCTGATCGTAAACCAGGGGTCCACTGTATATGCACATGTGTGCACGCACGTGCGTGCGCGCGCACACACACACAGGAGCTTGGACTCGACCCCCGCAACCTCAACTAGGTGAGTACAGAGCCACAGAGTTGTTAGGAAGTGGAAAAGTCTGGCAAGTGATGTAGTGGAGGCAGGAACTGTACATAGTTTTAAAACAAGGTATGATGAAGCTCATGGAGCAGGGAGAGGGAGGACCCAGTAGCGGTCAGTGGGGCCAGGAGCTGAGTCTTGACCCCTGCAACCACAATTAGGTGAGTACACACACACACACACACACACACACACACACACACACACTAAGCATCTCAATATGAAACAGATCATATCTGCATTTCCAATAAAACATCTCGTTCAAAATAAGACAAAACGTTTTTTTCACTGCCAACATGCAATGATTCAAAAGAAAAATGAAAATTAAAGTTCCCTTCATAAATAGCCTTTTCACAGTAGTAAATGCACTGCTTGGAGTTTTCACAAAAACTCACAACAGAGAATTCTTGGCAGCAAAAAATGCATCTTAAAATATAATACAATATGGAAAAATATGATAAAAGCAAACTAAGCCACACAAAGTCAGTCAGCCTATAAAACCACCTGTATCTGTATACAAATGTTAAAATCATCAAATAATATAGTACGTGTATAAGTTCAGTACAGAATTAGAAATCAAAGCAGAGAACAGAATCTCAAAATTATCCTCATATACTACAAACTATTTATTATTTTTTAACACACTGGCCGATTCCCACCAAGGCAGGGTAGCCCGAAAAAGAAAAATTTTCACCATCATTCACTCCATCACTGTCTTGCCAGAAGGGTGCTTTAAACTACAGTTTTTAAACTGTAACATTAACACCCCTCCTTCAGAGTGCAGGCACTGTACTTCCCATCTCCAGGACTCAAGTCCGGCCTGCCGGTTTCCCTGAATCCCTTCATAAATGTTACTTTGCTCACACTCCAACAGCATTTGTCTCCATTCACTCCTATCAAACACACTCACACATACCCAGTGGAAGTCCAAGCCCCTCACACACAAAACCTCTTTTATCCCCTCCCTCCAACCTTCCCTAGGCCGACCCCTAATCCGCCTTCCTTCCACTACAGACTGATACACTATTGAAGTCATTCTGTTTCGCTCCATTCTCTCTACATGTCCGAACCACCTCCACAACCCTTCCTCAGCCCTCTGGACAACAGTTTTGGTAATCCCGCACCTCCTCCTAACTTCCAAAATACGAATTCTCTGCATTATATTCACACCACACATTGCCCTCAGACATGACATCTCCACTGCCTCCAGCCTTCTCCTCGCTGCAACATTCATCACCCATGCTTCACGCCCATATAAGAGCATTGGTAAAACTATACTCTCATACATTCCCCTCTTTGCCTCCAAGGACAAAGTTCTTTGTCTCCACAGACTCCTAAGTGCACCACTCACCCTTTTCCCCTCATCAATTCTATGATTCACCTCATCTTTCATAGACCCATCCGCTGACACGTCCACTCTCAAATATCTGAATACATTCACCTCCTCCATACTCTCTCACTCCAATTTGATATCCAATCTTTCATCACCTAATCTTTTTGTTATCCTCATAACCTTACTCTTTCTTATATTCACTTTTAATTTTCTTCTTTTGCATACCCTACCAAATTCATCCACCAACTTCTGCAACTTCTCTTCAGAATCTCCCAAGAGCACAGTGTCATCAGCAAAGAGCAACTGTGAGAACTCCCACTTTATGTGTGATTCTTTATCTTTTAATTCCACGCCTCTTGCCAAGACCCTCGCATTTACTTCTCTTACAACCCCATCTATTTTTTTTTTATTTATTAACACACTGGCCGATTCCCACCAAGGCAGGGTGGCCCGAAAAAGAAAAATTTTCACCATCATTCACTCCATCACTGTCTTGCCAGAAGGGTGCTTTACACTACAGTTTTTAAACCTGCAACATTAACACCCCTCCTTCAGAGTGCAGGCACTGTACTTCCCATCTCCAGGACTCAAGTCCGGCCTGCCGGTTTCCCTGAACCCCTTCATAAATGTTACTTTGCTCACACTCCAACAGCACGTCAAGTATTAAAAAACCATTTGTCTCCATTCACTCCTATCAACACGCTCACGCATGCCTGCTGGAAGTCCAAGCCCCTCGCACACAAAACCTCCTTTACCCCCTCTCTCCAACCTTTCTAGGCCGACCCCTACCCCGCCTTCCTTCCACTACAGACTGATACACTCTGAAGTCATTCTGTTTTCGCTCCATTCTCTCTACATGTCCGAACCACCTCAACAACCCTTCCTCAGCCCTCTGGACAACAGTTTTGTTAATCCCGCACTTCCTCTTAACTTCCAAACTACGAATTCTCTGCATTATATTCACACCACACATTGCCCTCAGACATGACATCTCCACTGCCTCCAGCCTTCTCCTCGCTGCAACATTCATCACCCATGCTTCACACCCATATAAGAGCGTTGGTAAAACTATACTCTCATACATTCCCCTCTTTGCCTCCAAGGACAAAGTTCTTTGTCTCCACATACTCCTAAGTGCACCACTCACTCTTTTCCCCTCATCAATTCTATGATTCACCTAATCTTTCATAGACCCATCCGCTGACACGTCCACTCCCAAATATCTGAATACATTCACCTCCTCCATACTCTCTCCCTCCAATCTGATATTCAATCTTTCATCACCTAATCTTTTTGTTATCCTCATAACCTTACTCTTTCCTGTATTCACCTTTAATTTTCTTCTTTTGCACACCCTACCAAATTCATCCACCAATCTCTGCAACTTCTCTTCAGAATCTCCCAAGAGTACAGTGTCATCAGCAAAGAGCAGCTGTGAGAACTCCCACTTTGTGTGCGATTCTTTATCTTTTAACTCCACGCCTCTTGCCAAGACCCTCGCATTTACTTCTCTTACTGAAATAGTACTGAAATAGTATTCAAATAGTAACAATCACACTGACAGATGAATATTTTCACCTGCCTTGGTCACTGACTATTGTCTAGAAACATATACAAGTATTTATAGGTAGTAGGTTGGTAGACAGCAACCACCCAGGGAAGTACTACCGTCCTGCCAGATGACTGTGAAACAGAACCCTGTAACTGTTTTGCATGATGGTAGGATTCCTGGTTTCTTTTTCTGTCTCATAAACACGCTAGATAACAGGGATATCTTGCTACTCCTACTTACACTATGGTCACACTTCACAGACACGCACATGCATTTTTTTTTTTTTTTTTTTTTTTTTTCAACAAGTCGGTCGTCTCCCACCGAGGCAGGGTGACCCAAAAAAGAAAGAAAATCCCCAAAAAGAAAATACTTTCATCATCATTCAACACTTTCACCACACTCACACATTATCACTGCTTTTGCAGAGGTGCTCAGAATATAACAGTTTAGAAGCATATACGTATAGAGATACACAACATATCCCTCCAAACTGCCAATATCCCAAACCCCTCCTTTAAAGTGCAGGCATTGTACTTCCCATTTCCAGGGCTCAAGTCCGACTAAAATGAAAATAACCGGTTTCCCTGAATCCCTTCACTAAATATTACCCTGCTCACACTCCAACAGATCGTCAGGTCCCAATATCAATGTCTCCAACTCCATATCAGTCATCCCCCGGGAGCCAACCCCTAAAAAACCCCCTTTTTCCCCTCTTAACCCTTTAACCCCCCCACCCCTTTTTCCTTCCCCTTGATTTATTCTTTCCGGGTTTTTATTTTGAAATTTTCAATAAAAAAACCCCCTCAAAATTTTCCCTTGCTTTTTTAAAAAACTAATTTCCCCCTAAAAGAATTTTTCAAATATTTAAAAAATTGGGTTTAACACATCCCCCAGCAAAACGTCTCCTGCGGGCCCTGAATTTCAAAGTTAATCCTTTTTTTTTTTTATAAAATAATATATCTTAAAAATTTTTTTTACCATGTAATTAAAAAATCATAAGGTTTTTCTATTTTTCTTAGCCTGTTCTTCTTTATTTCTTCAATTGTCCAGGGGAAATGGGGAAAGTAAAATCTTTCCTCCGTAACCCATGTGTGTCTATGGGGAACAAAAATGCCGGGAGCAATGGGCTAGAAACCCCCTTCCCGTATACTTTACTAAAAAGAGAAGAAAAAAAAAAGTTTAAAAAAATGGGTGCTTGAATGTGCGGGAGTAGTGTGGATGCAAGAAACAGTGATTGTGATTTTTATAAAATGAAAAAAAGTTGGATGCCCGGGCCCCAAAGCGAAACAAAGCGAAGAGGGTAGGGAATTTTGGGGTGGGGGAAAATAAAGGGTTTAAAAATCGGGAGTATTGAGAGGTTAGAGAAAAGGAAGGGGTAGCAGTAATGTTGAAGGATCCAGTTATGGAAGGAAAAAGGAATATGAATGTGAAAAACAAGAATTATGTGGTTAAAAAAAGGTTGGATGCGAAAAGTGGGTCATAATAAGCGTGTATGCACCTGGAGAAGAGGGAATTTTAAGGAGAGAGAGAGATTTTGGGAGATTTTTAAGTGAATGTATAGGAGCTTTGAACAAGTGAGAGAATTGTGGTAGGGGACCTAAATGCTAAGTGGAGAAACTTTTGAGAGGGGTGGTAGGTAAGTTTGGGGTGCCAGGTGTAAAAGATAAAAGGGCCCTTTTATTGAACTTTTTTATAAAAGGGGTTTTTTGTTTAGGTAATACATATTTTAAAAAAGAGGATTTAAAAAAGTATACAAGATATGATGTTGGGCGAAAGACAGTTGTTTGTTGAAATATGTATTTGGGAGACAAAAGACTGTTGATAGACTTCAGGATGTACTGTTTATAGAGAGGCCACAGATATATCAGATCACTTTCTAGTTGTAGCTACCTGAGAGTAAAAGGTAAGGGATAAAGGAGAATGAAGCATCAGGGAAGAGAGAGGTAAGTTTAAAACTAAAAGAGGGCGTTAGGGTAAGATATAAAACGCTATTGGAGGATAGATGGCTAATGAGAGCATAGGAAGGGGTCGAAGAGGTATGGGGTTTTGGTTTAGAAATGTAGTGTTAGAGTGTTTAGCAGAAGTTTGTGGTTCAGGAAAGTGGGGGGGCAGGAGGGAAAGGACGATTGGGGGAATGATGATGTAAAGAGGTAGTAAGGGAAAAAAGTTAGCATATGAGAAGTTTTTAAAAGTAGAAGTGATGCAAGGAGGGAAAAGGGATTGGGGAAAAAGGAGGGTTAAGAGAGTGGTGAAGCAATGTAAAAAAAGAGCAAATGGACGTGGGGGAGATTTTATCAAAAATTTTTGAAAAAAAAAGGAAAAAGTTTTGGGTGAGTTAACAAAATTAAGGAAGCCTAGAGAACAAATGGTTTGCAGTTAAAAATAGGAGAAGGGGGTTATTAAATGGGGGAGTTGAGGGATTGGGAAAATGGGGGGATATTTTGAGGAATTGTTTTAAAAATTTTGAAGAAGGGGAAGCTTGGTTTTGTGTATAGGGCAAGGGGGAATAAAAAATTAGTGGAAGTGAGAAGAGCCAGTTGTGAGTGTGGGGGGGTTTGTGAGGCAGTAGGTAAAATGAAAGGGGGTAGGCAGCCGGGATTGATGGGATAAAGATAGAAATGTTAAAAGCAGGTGGGGATATAGTTTTGGAGTAGTTGGTGCAATTATTTAATAAATATATAGAAGAGGGTAAGGTACCTAGGGATTGGCAAAGAGCATGCATAGTTCCTTTGTATAAAGGCAAAGGGGACAAAAGAGTACAAAAATTATAGGGGATAAGTCTGTTGTATACCTGGTAAAGTGTATGGTAGAGTTATTATTGAAAGAATTAAGAGTAAGATGGAGAATAGGATAGCAGATGAACAAGGAGGCTTTAGGAAAGGTAGGGGGTGTGTGGACCAGGTGTTTACAGTGAAACATATAAGTGAACAATATTTAGATAAGGCTAAAGAGGCCTTTGTGGCATTTATGGATTTGGAAAAGGTGTATGACAGGTGTGGATGGGGGGCAATGTGGCAGATGTTGCAGGTGTATGGTGTAGGAGATAGGTTACTGAAAGCAGTGAAGAGTTTTTACGAGGATAGTGAGGCTCAAATTAGAGTATGTTGGAAAGAGGGAAATTATTTCCCAGTAAAAGTAGGCCTTAGACAAGGATGTTTGATGTCCACTGTGGTTGTTTATATATTTATAGATGGGGTTTGTAAGAGAAGTAAATGCGAGGGTCTTGGCAAGAGGCGTGGAGTTAAAAGATAAAGAATCACACATAAAGTGGGAGTTGTCACAGTTGCTCTTTGCTGATGACACTGTGCTCTTGGGAGATTCTGAAGAGAAGTTGCAGAGATTGGTGGATGAATTTGGTAGGGTGTGCAAAAGAAGAAAATTAAAAGTGAATACAGGAAAGAGTAAGGTTATGAGGATAACAAAAAGATTAGGCGATGAAAGATTAGATATCAGATTGGAGGGAGAGAGTATGGAGGAGGTGAATGTATTCAGATATTTGGGAGTGGACGTGTCAGCGGATGGGTCTATGAAAGATGAGGTGAATCATAGAATTGATGAGGGGAAAAGGGTGAGTGGTGCACTTAGGAGTCTGTGGTGACAAAGAACTTTGTCCTTGGAGGCAAAGAGGGGAATGTATGAGAGTATAGTTTTACCAACGCTCTTATATGGGTGTGAAGCATGGGTGATGAATGTTGCAGCAAGGAGAAGGCTGGAGGCAGTGGAGATGTCATGTCTGAGGGCAATGTGTGGTGTGAATATAATGCAGAGAATTTGTAGTTTGGAAGTTAGGAGGAGGTGCGGGATTACCAAAACTGTTGTCCAGAGGGCTGAGGAAGGGTTGTTGAGGTGGTTCGGACATGTAGAGAGAATGGAGTGAAACAGAGTGACTTCAAGAGTGTATCAGTCTGTAGTGGAAGGAAGGTGGGGTAGGGGTCAGCCTAGGAAAGGTTGGAGGGAGGGGGTAAAGGAGGTTTTGTGTGCGAGGGGCTTGGACTTCCAGCAGGCATGCGTGAGTGTGTTTGATAGGAGTGAATGGAGACAAATGGTTTTTAATACTTGATGTGCTGTTGGAGTGTGAGCAAAGTAACATTTATGAAGGGGTTCAGGGAAACCGACAGGCCGGACTTGAGTCCTGGAGATGGGAAGTACAGTGCCTGCACTCTGAAGGAGGGGTGTTAATGTTGCAGTTTAAAAACTGTAGTGTAAAGCACCCTTCTGGCAAGACAGTAATTAAGTGAATGATGGTGAAAGTTTTTCTTTTTCGGGCCACCCTGCCTTGGTGGGAATCGGCCAGTGTGATAATAAAATAAAAAAAATAATTTATAGGTCCCAGCAATGTTTTCGACATGGTGGAGTATGAAACTCCTTGAAGAATAGTTTTATGACAAGGGTCAGATAAGTGACAGCCAGTGACATTTGATGAATGTGCACTGCTGGAGGGAACCTTGCTTTTATGTTTTTACTTTTGCACACAAACATGTCTTTGTATGTCTGTCTGTCAGTCTGTCTATCTGTACATCTATCTGTCTGTTTGTCTGTCTGTTTGCCTAGCTCTGCTTATCTGTCTGTCTAGTTCAGCTTATCTATCTGTCTTCTGTGTGTGCCTGGAGTATAATATGAAACTCCTTGAAGAATGGTGTTATGACAAGTGTGAGATAACAAGTGACATTTGACAAATGTGCACTGCTGGAGGGGGGAACCTTGCCTTCATAAGTTTTTACTCTTGCACACAAACATGTCTCTGTATGTCTGTCTGTCAGTCTATCCATCTGCCTGTCTATCTGTCTAGCTCTCCTTATCTGTCTGTCTAGTTCTGCTTGTCTGTCTTTCTATCTGCCTGTGTGTGTCTGTTTTTCCATCTGCTTGTCTCTGTCTCAGGGAGCGGCTGGTAAACCTGTTGGTTTTTGGTTTATGGGCCGCTCCCAGATTGCTGAGCAAGTGACACTTGCGTCACGTTTATTTA